ACAGTCTACAATTCAGGCGGCGCGTAACGACTAGCGCTGGCCGCCGCGCCGCGGCGCCGCCGCGGCGGCAGGATGTTTGACTTTACACCGCTATTACTAGAAAAGTTGTGAACCGATTTTCTTACTTTTTGCACGAGAAGATCTGCAATTCAATTCGGGACAGGTAGCCGAAATTTCACATTGATATTATGCTTGCGGCGCGAGTTATTGGCGAAAAACAGGAGGGGTGGGCGAAATCCGCCCCCCCTTCCACTGCGCGTGTTAACCCGCGCCGGGCCGGGGGGGGGGGTGTTTGAACACCCCCCCCCTGCGGTTTTTCGCAGATATTTCAAAAACGGAGGCGCGGAGCGCCGCCGTTTTTGGCACACCTGTTCGTGCATCTTTTCCGCACATGTTGTGAAAATTTCAGACCCAGGTCATCTTAGGTCAGGTCACCAGGTCACGCCAAGTGACCTCACCTCAGAAAAAATTAGAATGCTCGTCATAGCTACACCGATTGATCGATTGCCTTGAAACTTTCAGCGATTGATAAGAGCAACATTATCTATAAAATGTATATCTCGGAATTTCGATATCTGTGACCTAAGGTCAGGTCAATTTTGCGACCTCTCCATTATAAGTCAATGGGAGAAAATTGAAAAGCGTCTGTTTTGCACGAACGTTATTCTAGACACTCTGAAACATCGAGATGCAGGTAAAATGGACACACTGAACCGGAAAATGGCATTTGTGACCCCTCGTTATGTCCCCGAGGTCATCTCAGGTCACGAACAGAATCTAACAGTTTTTTCGCTAATAACTTCTGATAGAGACGTGCTAGAGCGCTGAAAACGCCTTAGATGTGTTCGGCTCGACGTTGCGGATTGACTGATATGCAACATGACCTTTTCCGGTCAGGTCATGACCTTGACCTGAGGTCAAATTTTCAAGTTGACCTTTCAAGGTCAAATTATAGTTCATTCGACGCGTCTCGACGAGAGGAACACGATGGTGGCAAAAGTAATGTCATGACTCTTTTGAGTCAAAAGTTATTGCCGAAATAACGTTTTTCGTAAAAACGGCTATTTTTGGAGTTTTTGCCCTCTGGAGGCTAAACCGTTGACCTGAGGTCAAATCTGAGAACATTACTCAGAAAGGTCTGTAAAAGGGCTATCGAATGCGCTTTTCCGCGGCGCTGTAGCTCTATCGGTTCCCGAGATAGCCGTTGGCAGTTTCCAAAATGTTTAAATAGTGGACATTTGACCTTTGGTGACCTCTGGTGACCTGACCTTTGACCTGACCCAAAAAATGACCGAAGTGTTTTCGTCCTTATTTTGGACGTTCTTTCCATTGCCGCTTACCGCGTGTCGCTACGTGGCCCAGGAGCCGAGTTAGAAGGGGGGTGTTCAGACACCCCCCCCCCCCGGCCCGGCGCGGAATCTCAGAGCACCGGCCCAGCGCGGGTTAACAAGCAAGAATGGTTGCAAACTTTTTCATTCTTTCATTTCATTTCATTTCATTCTTCTTGAATTGGGCTATTTACTCAGAAACATCAAGAACAGCCTATGCCACGCGGAGTCTGCATCAAATAGAACTCAGGCAAACATTTTCGTTGACGAAAATGCCTACCTCACATGAATATATTTTAGCAAGTCGTTTTAAAGCCAGATTACCAAGACATCCCATGCTTGACGTCATCGCAAACTGAAATACGACAAGGAAGTAGATATGCATACCGTATCAAACTGCCTGAGAAATTGACTCACGACCATCGAAACTTTTGATCCACCTGATCGCATGCAAATGATCGCAAACGAGTGCATCTACTCGAACCACGATCCAAAGTTAACTCCAATTTATCTGAATTTGGTACTATATGTGCACTGTGCAGGTTCTTCTGAACGGCTTCTATTGGAGGTGAGGGGTCCTGATCGAACCTTTCCCGCTATGCTATCGGTTGATTAGTGATGAAACAGCTTCGGCCAACTTCCGGGCGCGTCCTCCTGGCGGGGCGTGCGGGGGCGGTGGATGCGGGCGGTGGCCGGCGACGGGGCGGCGGTCGGGCGAACTTCTGACTGAGCGTATGTTCGAAGTATGAGAGATGATGAATGTGTTCAGGCGTGTACGTATATATGCATGTATGTGTATGTATGTACGTATGTGTATGTATGTAAGTATGCATGTATGTGTGTCTGCGCTAGTATTATACCTACATATTTCCGGTGCACTGCATCACGAGAGTTGGCACCGAGACTTAAGCCCTTTGGCTTTTGTGCCTCCTCTTATTTTACTATATATTATGCGTTTAATTTGTATTACCAATAAACAGTTGGATGGATGGATGGATTACAAAGACCAGCAACAAAGATAAGAAACGGTAACATGTCTCAACGAAGCAGCATAAAACATGAATGCTTGTTATATGACTTCACCATGAATGTATGTTAAACACTTCATTCTTCCTTCATGCGTCATTAACTGCAATAAAAAACACTATCCTAGTGCTATCCCATATAAACGTCGCCTTACACACCCACTTACGCGTGTTGGAAACCCACAAATTCCCATTAGCGGCTAACTTGGACCGCCACCCGTCCATTTAGCGTCCTTAGTGCTATATGTCCTCGTAAATGCCACGTGGCTCTCATAAGAGTTTCCGAAAATGGCCAACTTCCGGTGACAAACAGAGCAGCTGATTGCGTCTCAGCGCCACATTCCAAAAAGGTCGGCGGGACACATAGCGTCCTGTCAGCAGTCGAAGCATATGTGTAACTGTAGACAGTAGTGTACGAGCCAAGATATTTACATTGAGGCGACAATTTTATATATTATGTTTATAGTTTCGCAGAGCGACAATACTCCGAAGATTCGTGAATATCTTTCTCTTGAAATGATAATGGTCCTTTTTTGTTACAAAATCAAGCCTTTTTGTTGGGGAGGCTAGCTCAATGAGCACTACAGACGAAGGCAGAATTCTTTACAAGGTGATCATGCTTTTGGCAAAGAAAGCAGAAATACTACCACAAAAAAAATGATGACCGGGTCAGCACTTGAGATACCTACTCCTGTAATGACCTAAGGTTGCAATGAACATGTTTAGCGGAGTTCGGGCGGTGCAGACCTGATCTGCCACTTTCCGCTAACTCAGCCACACGACACCCACTCTCTGCTACCGAATATATCAGGTGGAGATCATAGGTCGACACGATATGCCCCATTAGGCGTGTGATTGGAACCCCTGTCAGGTCGCCCCAGATTGTTCCCAAAGCCATAGAAAGCTCAAGCCAATCGACTTTTGATCGGTCGAATGAGACTACCCGGAAAGCTAATCGTTCGGATTCTGCGTTGAAACTCTGTCGACTTCCATGGACAGCGGAATGTGGCATGGTTCCTGGATGGGTTTCCCAACGGTCTTCCAGCATGATGATGAAACGAAAGCCTCCATCTTCCTAGATTTTCGCAAGAGATTCCAATAACCGGGTACGGGAGCACAAAACCCTCATACAGGCTTACGTCGCACCGTTTCGAGGACCATTGCATTCCTTTTATTATGATGACATTTGCAAGGGTGGAATGCGGATTGAGTACACAACTGTGCTGCATTGGTGTTGCATTTTTACAAAGGGATGCTTATAACGATTATTCTTAACTTGTATGAAGCAAACCTGCCTAAAGTAATACGGTTTGCATCGAGTTGCTAAATCAGTCAGTGATTTCAATCATGACTTTTTATCACTTCTTCAATTTTTTTTTCACTAACCAGTTCAATGACAGCAAATGTAGTTTCAAACTGGACGTACATCCGATGAATTGGTAGCTAACTATCACACTAAACATCTCGTATGTACATATGTGGTGAAGTAACCCATTTGGACTTTTTTAGCTTCATCTAGCTGGTGACCCTGGCTGGTCAGTGCCTTTCGGAGGACGATCAACCAGACTCGCGCAGCTTTTAGCTCAGTCTATCAGTGAAACATTGGGTTAACCACAGAACCATGGCTCACAAACTGTGCAATCAAATTTATGTTCGATCATCGTGAAAGGTTTGCGGCATATGCTGCGCAGTTTTGCCGCTGTTGCAGTCAAATTATTGTGGACAGTAAACTGATGGTAAATCCATGGTCGACCGTCAGCGCCGGTACTAAATCCCAAACAAGCGAGGATGCTCTCACAGTTGATTGAAAATCTCATTGGAAAGCCTTCAAATAAAATTAACACATGCTCAAATATTCAAGGATTTAAAATCTGCGAAGATATATGTCAGTATTGGTGCGAAAACCAATTGGCAGTAGCTATTAGTATTCCACTGAAGCAGAAACCTTGTGTATTCCTTCAGAGCTGGTAATAATAGCGCAATTAAATAGATAAAAAAGAAAATGATGTAATAACGAATAATGCTACCAATATGTGCCTTTACCAGTATGTTTTTTATGGGTACAAATCAGATTCCGTTCCTACCTTTTCAAGAACGTAACGCCTAGTTATTCTGCCAAGATGAGGTGGATATAAACCCAGATACAATTGGATCTCTCCCGCCGCCCGGGTGACTTAGTAAATAGAGTTCCGTCTGTTCACTACTTGAAGTCTAATTTGATGACACGCCTGCAGACAACTTTACTAGCTGGTTACGCCTGTCGTTGGGTGCCGGCACGTTGCAGATTGCTAAATAAATTAGGAAGCAAACACACGCAAACAAACGAACATTTTCTGTATTAGTGATGTCGATTACGGAAAATGGTGATAACGATACAAAACCAAAGACGAACAACACTGATGAGAAAATATCGAAAGCGAACAAACTTTGCAAAATGAGAAAAATATCATCTTGTTACTAAATGAACAGCCTCTTTTACATTAGTTAGGATTCATAACACCAACAAAATACCAAATGCCAAATGCCTTGAAATACCAAATACCAAGTTAGCATCGATTAGGTATCGGTGTACCAAAAAGTTGGCATCCCTATACTGTATCACCCGCGGTTGTTGACCAACTCATGTCACGCTGTCAGGCTCGCTCACCGTGTGCTCGAGTAGACTGGTAGCCTGATCCCCCGCTGTCCCGCTGCACGACGGCTCCGTTCCGCTCTCCCCCGCTCATCCACCTCCTCTGAGCGGCGAGCCCACACTGGCGTGGAGTACGCGAGAGCGCTCGCCGGCGATCCAACCCCCTCCCCCCCCCCCAGACGCGTCGGCGTCGGTTCGATCGGCGCCGTCGGCCCCGCCGATGCCCTCCGGCTATCCGCTGCAATAAAGGAGCGGGGTTTGACGGTGACAGGCCGGGCGGGTCGGTCAGCGCGGCCCGGATTCCGCCGACAATTGGGGCCGCCGGCGGACTCGGCGGGTCAGCGGGGACCGGCGGTACTCATCACACCGGGAGCGGCGCAGGTGTTACGGGATTTGGACGGTCGGATAGTGGCTGCAGTTGAATTGGATCTCTGAATGGAAGTGGTGGTGACCATTCATGAGTTGGATCCGAATGTCGGGACATGAAGACATTTGTATGCTGGGTCCAGCAAGTGCAATTGGCATCTGGAGCTCGGAGTAACTGCATGATGATCGTTGGCGACTTTAAAATGTTCAAAAGTCTTGTCTTGGGTATTTTCGCAATTACTTTAGAAAGAATGAGTGTGCTTGAGCCAAGTAAAACATTCGTAGTATCAAAATAAATGATCCCAAAACGTAAGCAGCTGCCGCGGAAAGCTTTACCGAGTACTTTCAACTGAACAGCTTAGTGCTTAGGTACCCCATTAACCCGGCAGTTGCTGGGGTATTTCGCCACCCACCGTTGGCTGGGGGGGGGGGGCGTTAAACGTCCCCAGCCGATAACTCGAGAACCAATAGGCGCAGCGAAACGCACGAGGCGGCAAACGAAAGAACGCGACGAGACGCTTCAGATGAGTACTTTAAAGTTGAATTTTGAGGTCACAGGTCGGGTCAAGGTCAGGTCAAACACCTGAAATCGGGCTTTCAGTAGCATGGACTTCAGGACTTCGCAATGGGCGCCTCTCGTCATAAACTCTGTCAAAACGGTGCACAATCCATCATATAAGGCCTACAAGAGTGTCAGCTCCATGTAGGGGTCAGTCAAGCATAGGTCAGGGTCAAGGTCAGGTCAACCCGGTAGGCACATATCCTCGAAAATCAAAACTGATATTCGCAGCCTGTGACACATGTTTTATGGGTAATTTGGGGCGTAGAACACGATGGTGACATTCATTTTATCATATATGCACGTATTTGGCTTAAAAAGTTCAATTTAAGAAATGCATGAATCATGGTCGTGAAGTAGTCACGAGAAATTGTCAAGATTCAGTTCAAGATTTTGGAAAATGCGGAACGTTAATCAATAATCGAAGATAGCCATTTGATTGTTCATGGTATTGGCAGTCTAATGGCGTTTACGACATGTCTGTATGTCTATTCCGTGATTTTATATGATTTTTTGAACATATGCCGTTTTTGGTCGAAAACTCAGAAATCATGACGTCACTAAAACCTCGATATCTCAAAAAATTTTCCTACCGATTTTTTTTTTTAAATTTTGTCACAATAAACCTCAATCGGTTCCCTACAGGTACCCAAATTTTGGCGCGCCTGCGGCGCGCCGTTTTTATGCTATGGCCCGGCGAAAAAAGTGGGGGCGTTTAACGCCCCCCCAGCAACTCGCGGGTTATTGTTTGCCAACATATATCGTTCGGCCTACTAATATTTCGAGATGCTTAGCTTAGCACTATGTGATCCAGTCTTGGTTTGGTCCGTAGGAATCCGCCTCTGCCACTGTGCGTCGATCAATGGAATATAGGCGGTAAATGTCGACCAGTCCCATTGAGTGGGTGAGGATTTCCGAACTACCATCCGCCCAGTCGTAAAAACAGCTCACTGCATTAGCTTTGTATGAGGCCCTTTGATTTGCCCAAAAATAGAGTGGCTCGTTATAAAGAAGAAGCAATATTTTCACAAATATTTCAGAGAACGGATGTTTTACAGAAGTGTCGCTATTGGAAATGTTGACATTTTGTTGATGAACCAATTTAGTAAAACCTTAGGACAAATAACGTTATGCCACGGTAACATATTTCGTGTATTTTCTCAGAAATACATGAAAAGAGTGCCTATCATGAAATGCCATCGATTCACCTAACCAAAGAACGATACAGCGCTTAGGTAAAAACTTGAGAACGGTGTTATCATAAATATGATTGGCGATATGTTACCCGAATCTTGCATTGTTTCTGAATGAATTCATCTTGCACTGTGCATGCACTGCTAGGCAACTCAGTCTGGGTGTCAAAAATGGGTGGCTCTTGGCTGATCGACATCAGCACACTTCCCCACGCCTCGGCCCTCAAGTGCGTAAAGTGATGGCGAAAAAGAAGATAAATTCACGACAGAAAGTTTTATCTACTATATATTCCAGAACCGTGAAGATCCTTCAGTCGCCTTATACATGAAATACATGAAGCATCATGATGCATGACGACACAAAGGTTCAAAATAAAAAGCTTACGGAACATATCAATAGGGTCTTTTTTAGGGCAACAAGTTCGAATGTCATATGATATTCAAATACCGCCACTTAACACTTTGATTGTTTGGATGGATTTACAATAAATTGATTTGAATAGTGTCTGTGCAAGTAATTTGCATCTGAATTGGCATGAAACATCCCAATTCATGTTTCGTCGTACTGATGAGTTGTGGAAACTATTTTGATGTAATCGATGTTGACTTTAAATAAACACATGTAAGCGCAATCGTTCAAGTTTGTCATCATCCTTGTAAAATGAAAAATCGTGACAAGTTTACAGGGAAGATCTCGACTCTCGAGGCTCCATTCATTGCTTTGTTAAACATTCTGACATATCCTTACCGACAGCACTCAGAATGTTGCGTCGAAGCGCACACTTGCACACGATTTCATACACAAGAACACACTAGGCAAACAGGGATCTTCATCTGCACAAGCTTCACAAGATCACTCACTGACGTCGCACGAACACTCTCTGACGTCACTCGGGCACTCACTGACGTCACTGCACAGACGGCGCGCGTTGATTGGCCGAGTTATCACATGCCCATTGGTCCTCTGCCGCTATTGGCCGTTCCGTTATGTCCCAGTCGGCCTCTAGCGGCTACACGCACAGTCTCAACTTCCACAAGTCACCGATGGGTGGCGCTAGGCCTATTTGTTTAACCTCTCAAGAGATGGCAGTGCGCACAGCGCTAGGATTCATCTCCTCTCGAAGCGGCTGATGCTTTGGATGATCCAGGTCTCGAAGGCGCTGACCCTGGTGTAGACTCCGGGGATGTTCTTCCTGCCACAGCCGATGCCGAACGAGACGATACCGACCTGGTACCAGAAGCCGCCCTTTTCGCAGACTAGAGGCCCGCCTCCGTCACCCTGAGGGCATGGGGTCAGGTCAGTTATGCCATTGGACCCGGCTTTGTTAGGTTCCTCATCTAACTTCCTGGCCCACTTTGTCAAAAGTAAAACAGAATAGCATCACACTTGCCTTTAATTACTCAAACGCCTCACTTTTTTCAACGCTGCAGTTTAATGCAAGTATTTAGGGAAGCATTCTCTTATAATCCAAGTTTGAGAGCAACTACAAGTCGCGCCCTTCTCATACTCACATCACAGGCGTCCCTGCCCTCGGCTCCCGCGCACAGGGCTGTGTCGGGAATTCGGTAGTTGGGTCCAAACTGGGTCCTCAGCGCGGCGTCACAGGACTCCCGCTCCCAGAGAGGCACCGGGATCTCCTTCAGAACCACAGAGTGCTCAGAAGCTGCAAGAGAAAAGTCAGGTAGGTTAGATCGGTCAAAAAGTCTAAGACTGAGTCAGACAGGACGTTACGGGGCATGTGTCGGATGGGTCAAGAAGACGCCACTGTCAACAGGGCAGGCCAGAGGGTCTGGGACACTACTGATCACAGCTCGGGTCGAGAGGCTCAGGTCTGCCGGGTGGGTCAGATGGGTCATTCAAGTCAAAATGGACATTGGGAGCTAGTCGGATTGGACACTGCAAGGCACATTTCGCCACTGTTCGGAAGAGCCGCTGTCATACTCCACTGTCCATCATCTTGGATGTGGACAATCCTCCGGCAAGATGCGCTTACAGTCACAGAGTTATAGTGTGTTCCAGTTTGGACAGATACATATAACAGCTCAAAACTGAGAGAAAATGCTACTGCTATTGTACCGGAAATATGTAAGTACTGGCAATTTCATTTGTAATATGTCAATTAATAAGGAAACCAATTACTGTTCCCACTGATGAATATTACATCTTGGATCTATAACACCGGACGAAGTCCTGCAAAGGTGATAAATTAGATCAATCTATCCAAGCTATTTTGGTACTTCATTAAAAGAGCGTTATTGGCTGTTACACAGGTGACCTCAAAACCTCATTCAAATTAAAATCCTAATTAACTCTCTCTGGAAACCTAGCACTTGCAAAGAGCAAGGAGCTTTGGGCGTGATTTATGTTATAGAGCCTTGCTAAATATATTCATTTCATCGTCTCATGCATCAAAAACCTTACGAACGGGCGGAAATTAACATCTTGCTCATATCGAGTCTGAGGCTATTCTGGGGCACCAAATGGCGCACGTTTCTGCACTGGGGCTTCGCTGCGGCCGATATAGATCCTTGTTTGTGTCGACCGGACAGGGCGTCGATACCGCTAGATCGCCACCATTAAATTAACAGTCGGGGGATCGAGCAGCTGTGTGGACGGGGTGGGGGGTGGGCGGGGTGTGCGGAGGGGTTGGGGATGGACGATGTCTGGCGACAATCAGGTACTGATTGCAGCCACCGTCCCCCCCCCCCCCCACCGTCACCTCTCCCTCTGGCCAGGGAGGGAGATGGGAAGATTGGGGAACTCGGCCACTGCGGCGCCATTTGGTGAGGACATAGCGCGAGGCATGTGATTTGTTTTGTGCGTTTGGAACGTGGTAGCCTGGGTGTTTGAATCGTGAGATTGCAGTGGGGGTAACATGGGTGCAGCTGGGACACGTTGAGTTTAGTTGGGACGGGAATTCATTGTTCTTCTGGGGATCCATTATTCCTTCTGCCCAGCTAGATAGTGTACATACGATTACGAGGAGATCGAGATCTATTACCAAGTTCCTAGACCAACGTGTTGAAGTGTTGTCCCCTTGGACCAAACCATCACTCCGTTCGTGATCCATCGGGCCCTCAAGTCTAATGGATCCACAACCCTGCTCTCAGAGATTGCTGAGAACAGATTCGATTTCCGCGACAATATGCGCTGTAGAGCACTTGAGATGCTACTTGAGAACCTTGTAAATCATCACATTTAGTCCAGGCGATAAGTGTCGATAAACCGCCTCTAAAGCTGGATTATCAGGAATAGGTTGGATGATCCTTGAACTTTGGAGCATATGAAGGATAGGTTATTGTGCATTGTCTGTCACTAATATCTTTGAAAAGGGGTAATTAATTACACACTCATTAGAAGGGGACAAATGCAAAAAATGCAAAACAAGTCGACATTTTTTTCATTGTCGTTTTCGTCCACCCTTTTCAAACATTCTGTATCGTGCACTCATGAGCAATTGGAACGGCGATTTTTTTGTCCGTCCCGTTCGTCTCCAATAAAAGTGGTACGGTAAAACTTACTTTCGTTCATCCGCCCCCAGCCTGTGACGTAGCAGCGCTTGCCCATGAAGGCGTCATCGTGGTCGTGTTTGGGCATGCAGACTGCATTGATGTTGACCTGCTTTTTCGCTGGTGTCCGAAGTCGCAGCAACGCAATGTCACTGACCTGTAAAAGAGAAACAACAAGGCATAGTAATTTGTGCGTGGTTATGAGAGAAACCATGCATTGTGATTTCTTTTTCTCTTCGATCTTCAGTTGATACGATATTGCTTATGGACATACAATTTTCTTGCATAACTGTAGGAAGCACTATGCTAACCAGATTGGCGTTATATAACTTCAAGGAACACTGTGCTTATCAAAGTGGCGTTATTGAACTGTGAGTGTAGGGGAGAGTGGGGAAAGATGCCCAGGGTTTTGCTATGTCATATATTATTCGAAAATGACGATCGGAAAGCAAAAACTTGGAGTTTCAACGGAAGCCGACATCATTTTTCTCCAAAAATATCACACTTTCGTGCCTGAAATATGATAACTTTTTTTGCTATTAAGAATTTTGCCGAAGAAGTGAAAGGGGGCATCTTACCCCACAGGGTGGGAAAGACGCCCCCTGGCGTTGGGTAAGATGCCCCCCTGCACTATAAGTGACATAAATGGGCACGTGAATCGCCTGAACGAATCAGTAGTCCCTTCGAGCCTGCAGTAGACACCAAACGTCATCGTAAGGGCCCTCAAAAGTAGTCGTAAGGGGCTTCAGAGGTCATCGTTAGGGCCATCATAGTCCAACGCGGCCAAACAAGCCTCCGTGGTGGCGTTCAGAGACCACTGTGGGGCCCTTATAGGTCTTCATGATGCTTGAGGGCCCTCGAGCCCATCATGGGGACCTCAGATGCCAGCGCGGCCCGTGGAGCCAACGTGGGAGCCCTCAAAGGATGTCGTGAGGGGCCCTGGAGCCAATAATGGGGCCCACAGAGGCCGTCGTGAGGGTTCTCAGAGTCAGATACCGCCCAAAAAGTCGCTGTGTGGGCCGAGAGACCGGCATGGGAAGCACCCGACCGTACTTGACTCTCAATAGTCCCAGATCGGCTTTTGTCTCTCATCACAAGTATGTAATAAATGATTTGACGGGCTGCTTGAAGGACAGCCTACGGATTTAGGGGGGCGTCTTTCCCCATCAGGAGAGGGGGCATCTTACCCCAAGGTACCGAAGTAACATTAAATCAGTACAATTTGTTAGCCATAAAACTACACCCTGAAACAAACTGTTTGGGACACAGTACACGCATGTTAATGTATCACAACTATAGCAAGGGACGTAAAAATTATCTACCTTCTTTGATATCTACAATGTTTTGACACCAAAATATCTTTTGAAAGCAGCAAATAAAAAACATGCAATAACCAGCCAGCCGTTGCCCAACTGAGCTTCGCAAATTTTTGTGCAGTTAACAAGGCAGGCTCCCACTTTACGCTAAGAACAATAAATTCCAGGTTCGATTCTTTGTTTCGCCGCTAGAGGGGGTGGGGCGTCTTTCCCACCCTGGGCATCTTACCCCACTCTCCCCTATATTGTTCTCAACAAGCTGTCTTTATTGTTCAATAGGGAATATGTGCTAAAGTGAGTGGCATTTCATTTCTGTGGGAAACACTATGCTCACCAGAGTGGCGTTGTCGAACTGCGGGTGGATGATGACGTCATCGACGTCTATCTCCTCGTGTCCGACCGGCTCAGACGTCGAGCTGACGTCGTACTCGCCGAGACGCACCTTCAGCACCGTGTGCAGGCGGTCCCCCAGGCTGACGCTGAAGGCAAAATCACACAAGCAATCAAGCATTGATATTGTTTATTGGTTGTTTGGTGGTGTGTCTGTGTGTGTTTGTTTTAGTGTTCGCCTATATGTACCACTTATGGTATGAAATAAACATGTATTATTATTATTATTATTATTGAAAGAATTGAGTTTAAAAAAGACAGCGTGTAGCCTGTAGAACTAGAGCCAAGCATTTCCAGCTACTGCTCTGCCCTGACTGGTCCTTACAACAGACAAAAGGCATCTTTATACCGCTCCCTTCCCCGAAGCCGACTCCGCTAAGCGTGGGTACTCACTAGTCGTCGACGCAGTGCGCGGCGGTGACGAGCCAGCGTTCGTCCAGCAGTGACGCACCGCACACGTACAGGTCCTCCTCCTTCTCCAGAATGGCAGACTGAAACACAGACGGGTCCGCGCGCACATCAGTCACAGGGGTGTCACTCGCCAAATCGCTTTTTATTATTAATTGAAATTATATTGTCCAATGCCCAAAGCCTATCCGGTGGCCATGCAAATTTGTAGGTTATGTTTATGTTCACTAGCGCAGTCTCCAATGGTATCCGATGCATACAGGCACAGTCTACCAGTGCAGGCAGTCTACGCCTGCCATCTAGTGTCAAGTTTGCGAACTGTTCACAGCCGCAAGGTGGCAGCACTTACATGCCAGGGCCACTCGGACATCTCAGCGACGCCCTCTTTGTTGTTGTCGTGGCCCTTGGTGCCGCATGTCTTCCTCCGTCGCGCCGGTGGTAGGATCGTCAGCAGGCTCAGCGGCTTGATGTGGTGCCGCGACGTCCGTGGCATGAAGCAGCAGAACTTGTTGGACATGGGGCACATGCCCCGCGGCGAGCCCTTGCTGAAAACAGAGGACAGCCGACGTCTCAGCAGAAAATAAGATGCCCGTTTGTTTCATCCCCACGACTACCCACTCAGTCTTTGATCATTTTACTTTCTCTGTTTTGGCTGGACGGGAACGAATAGCCGACAAGAAAGCAAACAGCCCCACAAGTGGAGTAGAATGCCCGGTGTAGGCCTACGACAACGTAAGCGGTTGCATCGGCTCGGTGGGTTTCCTTAGTTTTAACTATACACCACGGAATATATAGTTTACCACACTATTGTGTCGTATATAGTGTAGTTATATAGTGTATAGTGTATATAGTGTCGTAGACTATATATTCCGTGTATACACGTATGTACATACCTACAGTTACGTTTATTTTTGTCGCTTATTCCAAATTTTTGTTGGGATGAACTGGAATTTCAAAGGTTTTAAATTTAAACCCAAAGGCCCAATAATTTTGAAATAAATTGAAATATGTACCTATATTTTCATTTAGGGTCGTGCCAGAAACGTGTTTTACAAACATCGGAGGATGTCGCGATCATATGAATAATCTTTTCATTTTCAATTGAACAGAAATGAACGATCCCACACTAGCGGAAACTTCAAGATACTGAGCATTTACTGCTAACACGTTTCACATGATGCGTATGTAGCTCTGTTCATTGCAGAAAAGACACTCACGCAGCTCATATAGTACGGCCTACATCCCCATTGATCAAGATAATGCCAGCACGTGTAGTTGTGGGCGTTGAATAAAGAACGCCTCAAATGGAGACTAGAGATGGATGGAGAAATATCCGCCGACTAATGATCATCGCTGATTCGCGTGATCAGTCACAATTATTACAAGGCATATCATGAAGAATATAACGATATACAAGGATTTTACATGAAGAATATAACGATATGCCTTGTAATAAGGTTTCTACTGCTCCTGAAGCCAACAAAAGTCAGACTTTTTGACGCAATTAAACGAGACCATGGGAATCAGTCACAATTAATGTAACAGACGAGCAATAAGCGCAATAGCTGCCACGGATGAGCGGTTTATAGATCAGGACAAAGAAAGTGACTTGCATTTGCTGCGCGTCAAAATGTACCTAATTCTAGGAGATACTCTAAGTGTATCCATCACCGAATAACAAATTAGATTTGTATGACTTACCACAAATCAAAACGAAGAAAATATATGCATCAACGATTAACAACACCAAGATTGCTTGCTTCTCCGTAAGCACAGGGATGACTTACTTGAGTATGCACTGCCAGTACTCCATACAGTCGCAGAGGTCATTGTCCTCTGTTGATTCGGGGCCGCCGAGTTTCTCAGACGAAACTGTGGCGGCGAGCACTGAGATAACAATCAGGAGTGGCAGCAACGGTGGCCTGCGAAAAAAGACGGACATTGTGTCAGAGAACAGTGTATCGAATAAGTCGCAGCTAGGTGAGACAACAGAACAGAGGGTCACAAAAGGCAACAACTGGAGGAGGTAATTGATTCGCTAGTATGTGTAAAAGGGGTGAACAAGCCCACATATCTACTAGGATATTCATTATTCATGCATCAGTCAGTGCAGTGGTTTGTAAATAAAATTCTTTGGTTGTTGAAATCAAGCTACACTCAAACCCAATAGCTACGCGTTCGCACGTGTGCAAACCCAGGTCAGAAAATGCACACGTCTCTATACGAGAGACAGCATCGTGAGGCCAAGAGACGATAAGCAGCTTTTTTCGCAACCGTGTGTTTTATGACCTGTCGCCGGAACATGTCTCGAGAATTTCACTTCTTTACCTTCGCGAGATTTATCGCAGGCTCGTTTTATGTGTTCGTGAAATCAGGATTTGAATATTGACGCGTTTTTGTAATGCTTATGCTTTCAATGGATTTTTTCCATACACGGTCTCACGCTATTCCCAAATTGAGATAATGTAAATCAGTGCACGAATATCAATACTGCCGAAGCTTCACCTTGCGATTAAACTTGCAGGTAAGGAGATTGCATAAGGGTGGCATAAAAATTTATCAATGCTGGTGAGTCGATGCCTAAATGCACATTGCACAGGCATTGATATAGGCAGATAGGTTTACTTGCAGCGGGATCTGAGGAAATGTAATAATTGAGTCTCTTTGTTTACAAATACGGTGTGACGTAACAAATTCATTTTGAGTTACTTTACAGACAAGCCTCGTTTCGTTTCCGATAATCTGTTTCAAAATACAACGGTCGTAAGTCCTGAACAAATTGACAGAAATAAATTTGCAAGTTCGGTAGCGAATATGACCACAAAATAAAGATATTATCACTCTTTGTTTGCTGTGAGAACAATCACACTCCACAGGTGCTTTTGTGCCGATCAGATATGTCATCAGACTGAACTGTTCGGTGGTTTTAGTTGTCACCGCCGACACCCACAAGTCGCCACCATCTGGCGTGCAGCGGACTTTTACTGTCTATGTAGTGCTGATGGCCTCACCCACACATTGCAACAGTGAGAGAGCAGCAGCGGCCAGCAGACTGGTCAGATCACCAGCAACTCATAGCAGGCCAGCGTTGTCTGGAAGGCTTATATAACTCTATTACGTTGCCCACACGCCAATACACGCTTACAAATCACATATCCATATCGATAAGCTCTTACAATCATCAGTAGGTAAGAAGGTGTGCAAATTCACCAAAAAGAACGAGATCCTCTGCCCCTACAACTTATCAATCCTGGACACTAACATACGTTACCACATTTAGGGACCACTACAGCTCCCATCAATCCTAGATATTTCAACATGTTCCACCAACAATTCTTCAGCTCTTTCCAATAATGGAGCCTCCTGTCAACTACCGCAGCAAAAATAGAGCTTCCTTGGTTCACAGTACAGTCTCGAAGCCCTTCGCAGCTGGCCATGGGGCACCGTCGTGTGTGTAAATTGCAAACCGGCGGCGTGCGCACATCTAATTTCAGCCAGCCATGTGGCACCGTTAGGGAGGTCATTATCTAAATGTGTTGTGAAATGGTACACCATATGCAACGTTTGCTGATTGATCTTTGTTCAAGATACCGTCGCGCTGTAGCTGCCAAGTGCTCAGGTTCAGCGAACTGCTGTCCGACAAGTATAGATTTCGCCGAATATAGCGCTGACCCCGGTCAGATTGATAAAGTGATTGGTGGCGCCGGCCTGTGGAAACTGATTGTCTGTTGCTCCTGTCAGTAATCAGATGGCTCAGTGGTAGCTGACAGGGCTTGGTACGTGCAGCTTCAATCAAATGATGAGCACCAGCCACATGGCAGACAAATGAACAGGCTCTATCACGAGCTGTCCATCGCAGAGTGTCGATTTGCTTTTAGCTCTAAATCTTATCATTAAATTGCTAACCCCTTAGACCCAATGACGCCTTAGGCTTACAACTTTGAAATATTCCTTGCAGTGCATCCGCTCCCTGCTGGAATAAGTGAAAACCAACCACATTAGAAAAAAGGTAATGCGCACTTTCCTATGCCGACCGGTGAAAGATAAACGACAATGGTTTCTGTTTGGTTTCGGTCGGGCATCGAATCGACTCAGGGCTGCACCTTGGTCATAAAACCTTGTCAACTGGCCAACTGGCATGCAGAGATGTCCCTACAATGCAAGTGGTTAATGCCAAATTGGCATCTAAATACCTGCCTCGAGCTATTCTAATGCTCCGATCATGCTGCGTCCACGTGTACAAATGTTTTGTATGGCTCCTTCTCCCGGACGTTTCTTGCTCGCGATGCTTGCCATGACCACGCTGGCAAAACCAGCATTCCTCTGCGACTAAATATGAACAGCCCGCTATCGCGCACGAGCTTTCCACAAACAATGTCTGCATCAGCATTGCTGCACATCCTGGAGCTCGACACAATCGCCACTCACAGCTGACGGCTTGAACAATACGCCCACCAAACATCCCTGTCTGTCTCCCTTCAGAGCATCGCACGGGGCCGGCCAGCGGGCGGGCAGGGACGTCTCTTAGACCCCACGCAGCAGCGCAGCTGACCTCAGCGTCTCGAATTGCACCACACCCTCTGCAGGGGGAGGGACTGCAGATCTCCCCGATACCTTTGTCGCAGCGCGCTGCCCATGGCGCCGGGTCGGCCTTCAAGGCCAGAGTGGCTCGTGCGCGCCTCTCACGCGCCTGCCGTCTTTAGAGGCGTCTTTTTGCGACGTCTTTTTCTGGTCGTTGTTTGATTCGGCGTGCGGCTCGGGTCGCGAATGACGCGCGACGGACGGTGATCGGTGGGTATTCAAGGACGTCTCGGCACCGGCGACTGCGCCCTCAGTTTGGGAGAGTCAAGGGCGTCCACTGGCTTAGGTGCGGTTCGTCGCCATGGTGATACGGGTCTTCTGAATAAGCGTAGCGAGACGTATGGGTTCATGGTCGTGGCCAGAGGTGTTAGAATACCCAGAACAACTTGGAAAAATATTTTTTTCCCCACGCATTTTTTAGGATGTTTCTTCGTCGTCGTCGTCGTCGTCGTTGTTGTTGAAAAAGACGTACTCGTATTGAAACTGCACTCGTCCCTAAAACAGGATATACATAAGAATTACTTTTATCAGCAGGTATTGTTGTAGCACAAGGACGTCTTTTCGGTGGCGCGGCGGGCGATGTCACATGTCTGTAATGATATTGATGACGTCAGATACTGATGGTCGGTGGTCGACCTTAACGGTTGACGGGAGACGGTAAACCTGACAGACGTTCTGTCACAGACACATTTCGTCATTTCATGAGTCTCGCTTATTGGGGCTCTCTCAAATCTATAGAGAGCAAATAACGGTGGGCAAAATAAAACACTCAACTATCATTTATCGGCCATGGACAAAGTATGCAGCACATGATTACATTTTACTTGGAAATAACTTGGCAATCAAATGTAAAGGAAAAATCCAAATTTTCATTTTGCTGACACAAACAAGAAAGGCCAAGTTTTTGTTTGAAACTTTTTGCATACAGACGTTTTCGAGCCATACAAGAATTACATTGTAATAATGCAAGCGCCTCATGGAAAATAAATTTCACGGATCGACTAATCAGAGAAGGTTCAGTCTTTACGCTGATATGCTCTCTTTCACAGCTAAGCACGAACTCTCCATTCATCGATGTTGTCCAAAATGAGTCGTTCACCCCAAACAATTAGAATAATGCTGCCGTATCATGACTTTCGTTTCCTGTGCCTTTTCAGTTCTGGAGTTCCTTTAAAGCCCTGACTGTGCTCTGACGTCACCAGCGGCCTCTGAAGGTCACCAGACCAGTCACCAATGTCGTCCTTTCAGCAAAGGACACGATCTGGGGAACTCAGTCAGATTGGTGAGCTGACATTTCCAAACGGATCCTGGAAGACGTGATAGGTTAGGTTAGGTGTGGTATTCTCACACTTCACGGTCTATTCACTGTGTGAGTGACGATGTGTTTTTTTTTCTTAATAGCTTCAGAGGGATTCAGCTGTGAGTTTTACAGGTTTGCCAAATGTAAGCTGCCCATTGTTTCCAGTTGGTAATTATCAAGTGCACTGGTTGTGGGTTTTAGAGCTCAGTTGCGGTTTCAATAGCACGTGAATTTTACTTGTAAGTCTGAGTTTGGATTGTTACCCGATTTTACAAGACGATCAAAGCCAGGATCAAAGTAGGGATTGTCCGTGGAAATTACAGACCGGCGCGATCAGGCTTTCCGTTGCACTGCGCCAACTCCAAGTCCGGTAGGTATACCCAGGTGTTTGTGGATTCCCTCCATCCCCCGCGGACAGTCCAGATCGGTGTTCACTGGAAACAGCCCAAAACCAACGTGTTTGGCGTGGGCCTTGCTATTCAGAGCGGTTATCGCTGAATAGACAGCCTTGACAATGCCTATAGACCGGAGAATAGACAACTGTACCTACAGTGTACACAGATGCATATCGATGCGGAGTTATTGAGAAAACGCCCAAACCACGCTGATGAGCTCATGTAAGAAGGGCCTTGGGTCAGTGTCCCATGGTGTTCTTCATACTAAGACAGGTCAGTGACCTCATGGGCAGAGCAACTGGTCTGGGTGGACCAGTGAGAAAAAGTCGAGTTCATTTGATTTATGCCGATTATTTCACCGGGATGTTTCATCAGATACAGTGACACCGTTGCATATCGTGAGCCTGGAATATTCAATTTATCAGTGCAAAATGATTGCTGTGAAATGATCATATATTTCATACAAACTCTGTTCGCATCCAATCTGATTTATTTCCCGTCGACTTGTTTTGGAATGTCCTTTCAAAAACATTTGACAAACAAACATCAACACATATGTAATGATGAATTTTCCTGGAAAACTAGAAGAAATGATGATTGATTTGGTGAAGTGTATTGTCCTTGCATTATTAGAAGAAGAACAATG